TTTCAAAACCCATCAACGTTGCTTTGATGGTCCAAAGATTAAGCCAAGAACCTTCCCCAACAATTAACGTATCATCCACAAATTGTAGCAATTCGAGGAAGAAACAGGTTTAATCGTCTTGCATTTTGTATCAACCCTGTTAGTCATTCAGCCACAAGCAAAAAAAGAAAAGGCTACAATGGATCTTCTTGCCGTAAACCCCTTTCCACCTTGAAATCTTTGGTTGGAATTCCGTTTACCAAAACCGAAATTGTACATAAGAATACACAAGCTTCTATCCACTTTATCCATCTACCACCAAAGCCTATTTTACTCATCACATCTCTCAAATAGTCCCATGCCACACAATCATAAGATTTTTTGAAATCAACTTTAAAGAGCAAACAATCCTTCTTCTTTCTCTTGGCCAAATCCACTAGTTCATTAATTACCAGCACTCCATCACCCATTTGCCTACCTCGAATGAAAGTTGTTTGACATGACTGAACCAAGCCACTTATCACCTTTTTAAACCTATTCGTTAGTAGTTTCGATAAAATTTTGTAAATACTACCAATCAAACAAATAGGGCGATAGTTGTTCAAGCCTTGAGGATTATTCGATTTTGGAATGACGATGATGAATGATGCAGTAACCGCTGTGGGTAGAATGACATTCCAATAAAATTTTGTGAAACAGTCGAATAAATTGAGCTTAATTACGTCCTAACACTTCTTATAAAACCCCATATTAAATCCATCGGGTTTCAAACTTTTCTCACCTTCAGAAATCCAAACAACTTCCTTGATTTCTTCCAAAGTGAAAGGTCCCTCTAGTAATTTATTGTCTTCCTCTGTTAATCGTCTAAAGTTCACTCCGAGCAGTTTTGGCCTATTCGATTCAAGTTCCAATTTTTTTTTATGAAAATGGTTGAAAATTTCATATTTAACCTCATCAACATTACTGAGTAATCCCCTATCAGTCTTAAGCCTCACAATTATGTTGCGCCGAAAGTTCCTTTTCATCACTGCATGAAAGTATTTCGAATTGAAGTCTCCCTCTCGAATCCATATTGCTCTTGACTTTTCTCTAAGAATAGCTTCCTTATGCTGCCATGTTTGCCACACCTTGTTTGTAGCCTCAACCCTCTTTAGTGGAGTTCCAGTTGTAATATGATCCTCCACAATCGCCACTTAATGGTAAAGTGCACTCACATATTTAATCGCATCTTCTATGTCCAAATCCAAAATACCAAAAATGTCGTAATCCAAGTCTTCAATGATTCTTTTAATCTTTTTAGTTTTTCTTTGAAACAAAAAACCTTTATGCCTTGAACCTTGTTTTCCATCCAACCTTTTGTAACAAACGGAATAAAGTTCACATGTTCATACCAACGACCAAACACTTTGAAGGGTTTCGGTTCCCAATTCGACCTACTTGTTTTGATCCAAGTAGGGCAGTGGTTTGATAAGCTTTGCTAGCCAATACACTGAACAACAACACCTCAATTCTCAATCAGCTTGTCCGAAATTAGGAACTGATCAAATCTACTGATAGCGCTCTATTCCGTGTTAAACCAAGTAAACTTATTTCCAACCGCCAGCACATCAATTAGATCAATTGAGTCAATAAAATCATTGAAACCTCTCAATTATAATGTGTTAACATAGTTGTTAGCACAATTCCTTTCCCTTTCAACTTTAATCGCGTTGAAATCACCAACAAGAACCCAGTTTTCTCCAGCAAATTTGGTTTTGACAGCAAGCAGATAATTCCATAATTTCCTCTTATTTCGAATATTGCACCCAAAATATACATTAACGAAGAAGTAAAACTAACCTTCCCATTCCAAATGGATGCCAATAAAACCATCCCCCGTGAAATTGAATAAGCAATTAAGTAAACTAGCTTTCCATATTATTGCAAGTCCCCCGATCTTCCTTGAGCTCTTTTTGTCGTCCATTCTGCTCGACCAACACCTCAAATGGAATTTACCTAAGACTCATTAATCTTTGATACTTTTGTTTCCTGAATCATACATACATCAAATCTTTCTTCATGGATTAATTTTTGAATGCACTTCCGCTTATCAAGATTGAACCCCCCTTATATTAAAAGATAGCAAATTCATGTCACCATTTTTGATTTTGCTTCCTTTGACCTACGCCTCCCATGAGCTTTCCTTTCCATCACCCTTAATTTCTCCACATAAAAGTCTGAATTTTCAGTTCCACTAACTCCCAACTGAATTGTTTTATCCCAAATTATGTTAGCTGCATCGCTCCTCCTAACCCATTTCGCTAAAAAATTACATATTTCCATATTAGAATCCCTAATTAAGTCACAACACACAATAAATCCCCCTGAGAATCTCATGGAGGAAGATTCAACAGAGGAGGATTGAGTATAAGGAATGGTCGGTATCAAAGGGGGTGGTAACAGAGGAAGGGAATCAGAGAAAGGGTAATCGGTCAAGCCTAAATGATCTCTAGAAGAAATGATTTTGTAAGCCCTAGAAGTTTGGTGACATGCTACAAAATAAAATGTTCTTCAATAGCCGTCATTTCTTGCATACGTGGTGCTTCTTAGAACCCGACATTTTTTCTAACCCAGCCAACCTAGGATTTGTCATAATCACCTTCTGCCACCCATTTTTAGCACCCTTTGACTTGCTACACATTGAAAATTAGACACATCACCAATACCTTGAGCTTCTGCATTCTCCAAAACCAAAACACCATAATCACTTCCTATTTGCAGACAAGTCTCGTCAATAGCCACCGCTCCATATTTTCTTGGGTCCTCCCAAGTGAAACTTGCTCTGAATCATGCTTTTTCCCATTGGATTCAAGCACGATGTTTCCATCGCGTTCTTCACTCGTAAGTGATAAAACTTCCTCTTCAGAACCTGCTTCGGATGAGGTATCAGTAAGGGAATCTGCTGACGAATCTGAATCTAAGCCTTCATGATTCCATGAGAGATAAATTCTTAGTGGCCCTTGAGAATCATCCACAACTTCAATTCGAAACACCTCTTCATTAATCTGAACATTAAATGTTTCAGTCAAAACCAAGATATATTTGGTTCTGACCATAATCCGGGCGACATCATATTTGTGTGATTTTTGGTATTATAATTTGCACATATATATTTGCCTAACAGAGCCATAATGAACTCAAAGAAGTCAGAGGACCATGAGCGACAAGGAACACCATAACATCTAACCCAAATGACCCATTCTCTATTCACATCAAAATGTTTCCATTTCTTGATTTCCTTAAACATTGATGCAACCAGTCACACCCTTCCTCCAGTAAGGCTTCCATTTTGCCCTCATCTCTATCCTCTAGAAGACATAAGTTTGCTAGTAGAGGTATAACATGAATGTCGAGAATAACAGAGAATAGAATCCAAACCAAAAAAAGTTTGCTTGTAACTTTTTCCTTAATGGGAATGTCATACCTTCTTTTGAAAACTTATTTTTATGGCACAATCGTTTTCCAATTTTCCCTTGCAAACTTTTGCCACATTTTTATCCCTACGATGGACTTCTAAAATCTTGTTCGTCAAATAACAACATAATTTTACTGTGAAACCTTTCACACTGTCTGACATCAAAACAAAATTGTCATATGTTTCCCCCTGAATGTTTATTCTAGCTTAAATTTCCTGCATCATTGCCACTAGTTCATTCCAAGCCTTCTCCTGTCTGTAACGTCTTTTATGAGTTATGATATTTGAACTCCCAAAATCTTGACCCCATATGCACACCATATTCCTTTCTCTATCTACTTTTTAATTCTACATACTTTTGCAAAACCAAAAAATATGCTTAATGATTGCAAATGAAATCATATACTCTCTCCGGTCTCAAATATAAAAAAAAAAAATTAATTGTCTTAAATATAAACAAAAATATTTTATAATTATTGTGTTCAATATCATTATTTTAAATATACCCCTATTTTTTTTATATTTTTATATTTGTAACGATTTTTAAAATAAAAATAGAGGTTAAATTAGAAAGAGGATAAAAAATTATATATATATATATATATATATATATATATATATATATATATATATATATATATATATATATATATATATATATATATATATATATATATATATATATATATATATATATATATATATATATATATATATATATATATATATATATATATATATATATATATATATATATATATATATATATATAATATATATATATATTATATATATATATATATATATATATATATATATATATATATATATATATATATATATATATATATATATATATATAATCTTGTATACGAGATGGGATACGAGGGAGGAATGTTCAATTTGTTAGATATAGAAATATCATATATATGGTGTTTTATTAATCTTATATTTCCTAAAACAAAAAAGAACTTAAGATGTTATTAATTACATTGAATGTTGAGTAAAAAACATTGAATAGTGTATTCATTAATACTACTTTTTTGTATCATTCAAACTTTAATTAGTTTAGTATATCAAAATCTTAATAAAGTAAAATTGAAATGCATCATAAGACACTAAAAACCTCATTTTTAAAATGGAAGAACAAAATTTCATTTTTATAAAGAAATTTAAAAAATTGATTTTTAAACTTAAATACATTAAAAAAATTGTAAAATTATTATACTAAAGCAAAATAAAAAAAAATTATTTTGACAATTATTAAATATAAAAGGAGTAGGTAATAAATTAAAATAAAAACAATCAATATCACTAGTATCTATCATGTCATATCACCCTGTTCCTAGAGTATTTCTAGTTTACTACTAGTATTAAATTTTTGTTGGCTAGTTTATTTGATGCAAAAATATTGACCTTTTTAACAAGACTGAAAACTGACACATAATAAAATCCACTGCTTTGTCTCTCTTTTCACTCTCTCCCTCAAAATCCTCTCTCTCTATAAAAAAAACCACCCACTCCCTATTTTTTCTCTCAACATTCACTTTCTCCTCAAATGGATAAAATGGATAAAACCCGAACCGGTTTCTATAAACCCGAATCTCATCACTGCTCCATTTTCCGTCCACCGGAAACACCCCGTGAACCAATGGAGTTCCTCTCTCGTTCATGGAGCGTTTCCGCTTTAGAAATCTCCAAAGCTCTTAACGCTTCTCCCTCTAATACCACCATACCGGAAAATATCACCGGAGAATCCGAAGAGTCACCCTCGTTAAACCCGTTTTCTTTTGCCTCCTCGGAAACATCTCAAATGATAATGGAACGTATCATGTCACAATCCGTAAGTCCAGAATCTCCTGAAAAAGTTGATTTGGTTTTTAGCTTTGTCTTTTTCTTCAAACATCGTAACATAAAAACAAAAACATCACATGTTTACGTTTTATTTTTGTTAATCAGGAAGATGTTTCTGTATCGCCACGAACCTCAGGGAGACTCTCTCATAGTAGTGGACCTTTAACCGATAGCTCTCCGGTTTCACCATCTGAAATCGACGATATCAAGGTAATTTCCTTGGATAGTTTTTAACTTCACTTTTTCATTTGATGCTTCCAATGGCAACTCATGTATCTACAACGTTTTTGAATAAAGACGCGTCGGACATATGTATCTGCGTTGGACATCTGTACCGAAACTTGGTTATGTTCAATTTTTTTTTTAATTATTACCATCATTACCGTGTCAATGTCTGTGTTGGAGGAGTACGGTGGTGTATTCGGAGGAGTACGGTGGTTCGTCAGTAGCAACTATAGTGCACTACTAGTATTTCATATTCAAACAAAATGAAAATGATTAAATTAATATTTAACAGTTTTTTGATGATTATTACTAACAGAAAGCGTGTGAAACTGAAATAATTAATTATAGCTGTATAGATTTAGATACTCTATTTTTAGACAACTGTGTTTTTTTATTTATTTTGTTTTGTTTTATTGTATTGGTTTGTTTTATCTATTGGTTAATTTATCTGGTCCCCACAAAGTAACAGAACATCGTCAAATTGGTTAGAGTACCACCCAAAACCTGTCATTTAGAATCCTATATTTACAGAGAAAACCGTTCAATTTTGTCGTTTTCTATCTCTGCATTAATGGTTGAAGGACTTTGCAGGTTGCAAAGGCATCAAAATGCAACTATGATCTTTTGTTTTTATTCAATTGTGTGCAAAAGTGTTATTTGTTCTTTATGTTTTTGTTCTTGTTATGAACGAGGACATGGGTGCTGCGCATTAGAAACCAATGAATGAGTATTGAATAATGGAAATAATTTATTAAGGTTGTTGTCGTGTTATATTCTAACCACTCAAATATGGCTTCTTTTCGTTCTTCTTCTTTACAGTATGGTCGTGCCAAAAGTGCCGGTGTGAGTTTAAGCGGTTATTTGAAGCCTCCTGGCAGTGGTGGTAAGACGGTTGGAAGGTGGTTGAAGGATAGGAAGGAGAAGAAGAAAGAAGAAGCAAGGGCCCGTAATGCTGAGGTTCACGCTGCGGTTTCCGTGGCAGCTGTTGCCGCTGCAGTTGCTGCTATCGCAGCGGCCACCGCTGCTTCCTCCGGGTCTGGTGATGACGAGCAGATTGCAAAGACGGACTCGGCTGTGGCGTCTGCAGCGACATTGGTTGCGGCTCAATGCGTTGAGACGGCTGAGTCTCTGGGGGCGGACAGGGAACATCTTACTGCCGTGGTTGCCTCCGCCGTGAACGTTAGATCAGCTGGTGATATCATGACATTAACGGCTGCTGCTGCAACAGGTATATTTGTTTATGGTTTATGATAATGCTAATATTTTGAAATTATGGAATGTTATTTTTGTTGATAAAGTTTGTATGTTGATGTTTTTGTTGGTTTTGTTGTAGCTTTGCGTGGGGCTGCGACCTTGAAAGCCAGGGCTTTGAAGGAAGTTTGGAATATTGCAGCTGTGATTCCGGTGGAGAGAAATTTGGGGGGTTCGGATGGTGGTACTGGAAGTTCAAATAGTAGCTTTAGCGGCGAGTTTGTTCGAGAAGAGAATTTTTTGAGTACATGCAATAGAGAATATCTAGCCAGAGGTAGCGAGCTTCTCAAGCGCACAAGGAAAGGTATATTTTTGTAACCGTTTGTAACCGTGTATGGTTTCACCGTTACAAATTTTTAATTTAATTGATTCTTAATTGATAAATTTGAGTGTGAAAATCATAATTAGAGGCGAAAGCTACAATCTTATGATGTTGGAAAGGTGATTTGATTCATGAGTTATGTGCAGGCGATCTTCACTGGAAAGTTGTATCTGTATATATAAACAGAATGAATCAGGTTTGTTCTTTTCTCTGCTTTTGATTGTAGAGAGTAATCAATAATCAATCACTTAATTATTTGAGCATCAATTAGTGTTAATCATTCATGAATGTTAATGTGATTATGAAAAGGTGAATGCATCATCTTATGATAATTCTTTTTGTGAAGGTTACTTTGAAAATGAAGAGTAGGCACGTTGCTGGGACCATAACAAAAAAGAAAAAGAGTGAGTTTTTATTTAGGGATTTGTGAAAGGCAAGATCAAAAGTATTCTTCTATAATTCTATTCCTTTTTTCTTGTTTTGAATTTGCAGATGTGGTGGTTGAACTAATCAAAGATATGCCAGCTTGGCCGGGCCGCCACTTGCTGCAAGGCGGCGAGAATCGTCGTTACTTTGGGTTGAAAACACTAATGCGCGGTGTTGTTGAATTCGAATGCATGAATCAAAGAGATTATGATGTTTGGACTCAAGGTGTTTCCAGGCTTCTCTCTATTGTTGCTGAGAAGAACAACAGAAATAGATTTTGAGCTTAGTTAAGGAAGGATCTTTTTGATACATGGTGGGGTTTATCATTGAAAAAAGGGGGTGTAAGATAAAAAACTAAAGGCAAAAAGTTATGCCAAATGGGGTTACTTTAATCATTGGGGGGTGTTTAGAATTTTAGATGTATATTTTGAACTCTAGTGAACCCAATGTGAACCATTGTTGTTTTGTTCTTTTTCATCACTATTATGGAAAGAAGATCTTGGACTAGGGAATAGTGAAAAAATAATGGGGAAAGAATCATATTAGAAGGAAAGTATAATGTTAAGACAAAACATATTCTTATCCTTTATGTGTTGTTTGTACATTAAGGTTTGGGATATTATAACAAAGGTGGTCAAAAGTTTAGATTTTTATGTGATTAATACAATAAAAAATTATGGGCTTTGGCTCCTAGATTGGATCTTTGGAACTATTGTTGCACATTGTTAGCCATCATTGTCTACTTCGTGTGCTTTATCTTTAATCAAGTGTTTCACATAATATTTTATTTAAATAGAAGCAATGAAATTAAACTATTGTGAACATGTCCTATGAGTATGATTTTTTAATTAATAAAGTGTCAAACTAGAGAGAAGTGAAACATGATACAACGGAAATGGAATGTTGGAAGACAAATTATGACTAAAAAAGCAATACGAATATAAAACAAACCTTAAGTAGTTCTAGTACCTGACAAACTTTGAATGGGTTAGTATTTCTATTCGAGGTATTTTTTATTAGGTGATATGAAATTTAATAAAACAAATAGGATAAGATGATAAAATTAGGTGTGGAATTTTGTTGAAATGTCAGTTTGCCCGCAATTTTAGTATAGATTAAATTTTAACATCTAATATGCCTTATTTTTACTTTTTGTAGACTAAAGTTTTATGTCGTCACGTTTAATTATATTTGTTATGCTCTATGTTTTTTTTTTTTTGGGTTTTTAGTGGTCCAAAGTAAACAACGGAATGAACATTCTTTTTTGTTAATCTTAAATAAAACATCTCTTTCATTTTTATCAAAGGTCCTAAGTTCGAACATAACTTTGACTCAGGTATTAATCTCTAGAGTAAGGCGAAGAATTTTTTTGGGTGGATTTTTAGTGGCCCGAACTAAATGGAATGAACACCCCTCTATGTTAATCCTAAATAAAACATCTCTTCTATTTTTATCAAAGATCCTAAGTTCGAACATAGTCTCGACTCAGATATTAATCTCTAGAGTAAGGCGAAGGATATCCAACCGATTTTTATATAAAATAAAGTTGGGTCAAATAACTTCTATACCTATGAAAATTATAATAAATGTGTTTGTTTTTAAGGAATTGCTCTTTCCGTCCTTATATGTGCCCCCCCACCACTGCGAAATTTCACAAATGCCCCTAATATTCGGAGATACATCTTTGGACACACTTATTTTTAGTCATTTTTCGCTGAAATTGATGGGGCGCTCCTATTATGCCCAAATTTAATACGGAGATGCATCTCCGTATGCACTAAAGGTACATCCAAAGATGCATTTCTGTACACACCATTTAATTAAAAATTAGTGGGTGGTCCGGAGATGCATCTCTGCACGCTTTTGTTTCATATGCTCGCGTCATACCCTCCCTCTTCCTCTTCCTCTTTCTTCATTTTCTAAAAATTTCTTAAAACAAAACATTTGAGGTCTAACACATTCGAACATCTGACCCATTCATTTAAGCTTATACTATTAGAGCTCTTTCTTCTCCTTTCCAATATCTCATAGATTCAAGCTTCTCAATTTCCTTATCAATCTAAATTTGTAAAATTTTCAAAACAAATTATCTTTTTATATTTTAATTTACAGTCAGTTATTTAAGCTATATTAGTTGTTTTAGATACATTAGATAGTAGTGTAAACGAAATTGGTAACCTACAAGAATATGCATTAACAGATTTTTGGAGGGTTACGATAGTAATGACGTTTCTGCAATGGTTGAGAATCACATGTTTATTCAGAGATGGATCTCCGAATTTTCCCAATGCTATTTTCGGAGATGCATCTCCGAATTTGACTCGGGAAATTTTTTGTGTGGATTTTATGGATTTGTACTGACAAACTCTTTATCTCGATCGATTTATATCATAGGTGGAATGACTGATAACAACACTGAAAACAACCCTAGCAAAGTTAGGCTGGGACGTGTTTCTTAAACCGCGTTTGTACAACCTGAGAGGGACACAACTAGAGCAGCGAGGCCACTGGTTAATGATAACTCGTTTGATGGTTCGCAACATCAAGTTTTCATCACCCAGGTTCTGCTTTTCGTAGCCTCCTCTCCCATGCATCCACTTCACGAAGTCACAAGTCCCTAGATGATTCAGCAGACCCTGAAGCCCATAAAGGTCATGAGGAAGTCGTTGGCCCATTCGAGAGTTATCCTAGAGGCTCATTTGACACCTCCTTACTTCATCTCTATGCAGATCATGTTGCTGGGCATATATAGGAAGGAAAAACATATTTCTTTTACAATGCATAAGTTTTCAACTAATTAAATTGATATCGATGCCAATATTTTATTTTTACAATAGCGTATGTGTTTTAAATCGGTAAACCATAGGAGGAAGATATTGTAGTTAGGACAATCCACTGCTAATTGGTTTCAGGATGTTCTATGGTATTCCGATCTTGTCGGTTTATGTTTTGGTGCGTACATGACCATATCCCACGAAATGAAGGAGACTTTTATTGAGAGGCGACATTCAGAGATTTCGTATTTCCACCTTCCTATAGGAGAGATGACCATCACCTTGTATGACCTCTCATGCCTTCTGCATCTTCCTATAAGGGGAAAATTTGGCCCACAAGAGGATCGGTTGAGAGGAAGGCGTCGACATGATGCTCACCCATTTGGGGTCTGACCCAACTGAGGCCTCACAGGAGGCACATGACACAAGAGGTGCTCATGCTATGTTTAGTTTTTTGGAAAAGCTTTATAAAGACGATATGGAGAAGACTGTGGATCCCAAAGGTGATAACATGTAGGTTGAGTATCATCGGACATGCGTGTTGAGGTGTTACCTCTTATTCTTGGTTGTCACGTCCATTTTTGTGGACAAAAGTGCAACCTATGTCGATGGAGTCCACCTTCGATATTTTATCGACTTGAATGCGATTCATGAGTACAACTAGGGGGGTCTCCTGTTTTGTCTACCTGTACTCAAAGTTGGCCACGAGTTATCTTTGAAAGACAAAGTAGATAACATAGAGTTTCACACTGCTTACGGTAATTTACTATTAATAATATTTTCATAATTAATTTGTTACACTTGTTATTAATACAGGGATGAATCATCTCAAACTTCCCTCGCATCATCGGGTTTGAAGTTGCGTCTGTAAACACTAAGGATTAATCGTGTGTCGCATTTATTCCATACAGGAGGAGTAATGCACTCGAGCAATTCAGGGTGCATATTCACTGTCTTGTGACAAATGACATTTGCTTCTTCCCATATAAAGGTCACCGTGAGACGCGCCCATTTGACGAAATCTGGTGTTTCCTTATTTGTCCAAGCGAGTAATGCGAAAATTTGGCTATCTGCAGATTATTCTGAGACACCCCTTAGAGTCTGCTTATCCCACTGTCCTCCGCAAATATCTCAATGCGATACTTGATGATTTCGAGAGTTATTTAATACTAGAGGAGTATTGCAGGGTACTAGCTCCAATACAATGGGCCTACACAGACGATTACATGACCTGGTTATATAAGGTGTCACACCCTATCATGACACCATAGAATCATGGTTGACCACCTAGGTCAGCTAACCAAGAGGTACTTGAGACTCATGATGGCCACAGCGAATGCATGGCGGTGGCCTGTTGGCGTGTTGAGGAGATGGCTAGAGCAGACACATAAGCATGAATCTTTGAGGATGACAGTCCACAATTGGTCCTCGTAGAGAACATGGTTGTCGAGTTACGAAATGATGTGTTGTACAATTGGAGGAGGAGAAGGCAAGGAGTTCGATATACCGGTAATTTATGTTTGGATGTGTTATTTTTTGTACTTTTGGACAAATATTATGTATGACGTTGCATTTTCGAATTAATGTATGATTTTTTTACTTTCATTTATCTTTAATTAAATTTGATTTTACTGTGATTTTATGTTAATATAACTTATCCTTAAAAAAATATTAATGTTGCGATAATGGTGATGTTTTGAAACCATTCAGGAGATTTTTGGAGATGCATCTCCTAAGTAATCCCCCATTGTAATTACCACGCCTCCAATACCTGTAAAAGAACTTCAGAGGATATTTCAAAGACGCATATTTAAATACACTCAAATAATATACGGAGATGCATTCACGCTCCACTTTTCTAATTAAAATGGGATGAATATCAAAATAATGTATTTTGATGTATCAGAGATGCATCTCTAATACATGAATGACAATTTTAAAATTTCAAAAATCTAAAATGCACATATAAAAGTGTAATGAACATCTTTTTTTTTTCAACCATTTTTATTTGGGGAGTAAATAGATAAAAGTAGGATTCTTCCTAACCTGTGAAAATTTCTTTAGGCCTATGGGCCATCCTGTTGGCCCACATCTCCTATAGTGATAGAATGGGCCAGACGCTTATTTCGTTGATTAGTCATACATACATGATCGAAAAATATCAGAATAATCATTCCCCCTCAAAACTTCTATATCACTCAGACACTCACCAATTGCAATTGATTAAGAATATGGAGTGTGACTTTCTTTGATGACTTTGGACCCTACCACTCGTGTATTAAAAGTTGATTAGCACTCAACAATAGATGACTCTACATATGTCTTGGGTCCTCATTGATACTTGAGATGATATTGAAATTCATTTGAATGGTTTATTAGGAGAGAAAAAGAGTGATCATTAGTTAGTTTTAAAAAAGAAAAGCTTGATGATGAGAGAGAATAGATTTATTAGATGATATAAGTTGTTACACTTTTTAAATAAAAAAAATTACTTTTAAGTTTTTTCA